CATTACAGCAAAAAACTCACGCTTCCTCCCGTTTTTTTTTGTTTTTTTTTTTTTTTTTTTTTTTTTTTGGACCATTCTTGATTTATGCGTGTCATCCTTACGCAGGGGCCACGCTAATCTTCTCTGTATTGTTCCAATTTTAACGGATGTCCCGAAGGACTGTCTTGTCTGGTATTCCAATATTGTCATTCATCAGATTTTTTTGTTTTTCTCCCCCAAGAACACGTTGTTGTGGGCCTGGCCCCACATTATTCTGTGGAGCATCAGTCCGGTTCCTAGTGGACTGGCAAGGCAGTCCAAGTACAATATATACTCACTCTGAACCCCGAACCATGGCTACGATCCGGACCACCGGACAGGGATCCGGACCGTCCATGGTCCGGGGTCCGGGGTCCGGGTCCGGAGAATGGTCCGGATGGCTGTATAATTGGGGTAGCACAATTTTTTTTTTTGGGCCCAGGTCATTTCCTTCCATGCTAGGCCACTGTGCAAAAATACTGGGCGTTTTTTCAAGGGCGGGGTCTGGCATCCAGACAGGGCCAGAAGGAGCCTCTTTCGAAAAGTTGATGAAACCGACATCTTTTCTGTTTTGTTTCTTTCACGAATCCCGTATTGTGCACCTTCAAATGCGCCTGTTGCATACTTGTGAGTACTTCAACAAGTATGGGCAGAACCAAGAGATCAACCAATATAGGATGAGCATGTATGCAGCGGAAGTCTGATAAATGGACTGACTCACATAGACTGACTCACACAGATATCACTCCACACACAAACAATCGTGAGATGGTGGGGTCTGAGCCAATCATAGACGATGCTCAGGCCCCGTACACACGTACACAGATGAAGGTGGGAGGAGAGACGAAGGAGGTGGGAGATGTAGGTAGCGCCAAAGGTCACCAAGATAGAATCCAGTAGGTCACCGATATGGTAGTCCAAAATGTCATCGAACAAGATCAAAATGCCGTGGACAATAAGTCAACAATGTCGGAGGTACAGAGTCCTAATGTAACCGGTGTCCAATCTGTGATGCTGCCGAGTATCAACCCCAACAATCTCCAAGTCTCGAATCCGGTAAGTACCACAGCCTCTTACCACTGAAGTCCAACACTGATCTCTGTCCAACTAGTATCGAATCTCCAGGCTGAAGAAGAAGAAGATGAAGTCTGAAGAAGAAGAAGAAGAAGAAGTCTGAAGGAGAAGAGAAGAAGAAGAAGAGAACAGAGGAGGAGAGAGGTGAGGAAGAGGCGAGCCAGGGACCGTGGAGGGAGGAGAAGACCTCACTCCCGAGTACCTGGCCTGCTGCAATCTGACGGAAGCCGAGGTCGGCTACGGCTGCCAGATGCCTGGCTCCTCTTCTCAGCGCTACTGCTGCGCTAGCTCGCACTGCTGCTGCTGCTCCGCTCCTGCGCTAAGAATAGCACTCTGTCTCAACCGATACGCACTGGCGCTGATGCAGCATGCCAGTGGCTCGATGCCTCAGAATGAGGCTGGACCGGTCTTTAGTACCAGTGAAACGAGGCCGGCCTCAATGCTGCGAGGCCTGGCCGTGACCTGAACCGTCGAGATCGTCGGTTCAGATCAGACCGGCGCGCGGCAGCCTCAAGAGCGCCGCCAGGCCCAAGCGGTAATGTCGTTTGGGCCTACCCGTCAGGTCTGGTCCAAAAACGTGGCCTTTCAAGTCCGGGACTTTAGGCCCTACTGTGTCCTCTTGGCCCTAAGTCGGGTCCGGTAGGACCCGTGTGACGTGGAAGATGTAACACACTCCCCCTCTTAAAAGACCGAGCTACCTGCGGGGGCGGAGTTGTCTGTCCGATACCGGGGCGGGTCGGGCGGGACGAACTGCTTCCTTGGCAAGTCGTCGCTTCTCATAGTCGGCGAAGATCAGGGGTGCAGAAGTCTGCAAGTCTGCTCGGGCGATCCACTGAGTGTCGTCAGGCGCACATTGCTTGAATGTGACCTTGTACTGCCTTGGCTTGTTGCCATACTTGCGGTGCGTGAGGACTCGGTCGACTTCCTGATGTCCGTCCATAGAAGGCGGATCCTGTGATCGTCGGGCCGGAAACTCGTCAGCGGAAGGTGGCGTGTAGATGGCCAGCTTCGACGCATGGAAGACCCGGTGCACCGTAAGGTGCGGTGGCATGTTGACCACAAAGGAAGGACCTGCGGGGTCGTCTCCAACGGCAAAAGTAATTTCCCATGGTCCGAACCATTTCGGAAGGAGTTTGCGCGAAACGTCCTGCTCGAGCGCAAATTCCTCGGAGAGGACCCAAACAAGGTCTCCCTCGCGGAAAGGACATGGAAGTCGACGTCGGTTAGCTTGCTGCTGCATGCGGATTTGAGCCTTTTGCATATTCGCGCGGGCTTTGATCAGCAAGTCCCGGTACTTCCGAACGGAAGCGGGAGAGCAAGGGACGTCTATGTCGGCGGCCCGTGGCAGAAGGAGATCAGCGAAGATCCGTGCTTTCTCTCCACAATGATGTAACTCGAATGGTGTGACGCAGATCGCCGGGTGCACCGAAGTGTTATAGGCGAACTCAATGTCGGGAAGCCGGTCAACCCAATCTTTCTGGTCGAGACGGATGGGCGTACGCAACATCATCTGAGCTGTTTGGTGTGCTCGCTCCGTCTGGCCGTCCGTCTGCGGGTGCCGAGCCGAGCTCGACTTTATTGTCGTGCCGGACTCAGCCATAAGGGAAGTCCAAAAGGCCGACATGAAGCGAGTATCTCGGTCGCTCACTATGTCTTCCGGAACACCCTGGTTGGTAATCCAACCGGTGTGCAAGAGTCGTGCGAGCTCAGGTGCTGCAGCATGATACTTGCAAGGAAGAAAGCGAGCATACTTGCTCAAACGGTCAACGACCGTGAGAATACCGTCATGGCAGAGGCGATCGCGGGGAACGGGCATGTCACGTCCATAGCAATGGAGAGGCGCGGTGCTCGAGGAATCGGCAACGGTTTCAGTTCGCCGAAGGGGACTCGAGATCGACCCTTGTTACGGTGGCAAACTGCACATGACTCGATGTACCTCGTGACGTCGTGAAGGACGTCGGGCCAGTGAAAACGCTGGCGGAGGCGTGCTAATATGCGGTTTACGCCAAGGTGTGCCGAAAGTCGTGCGTCGTGGAATTCGCCGAGAAGACGAGTCCATAAGATGCGATCTTGGGGCACAACTGACAAGTCCTTTCCTCTCGTGTGAAGGAGAAGGAACCCGTCGGAAATCCGATAATGGCTAGCCGGTGGGTGATCCGATGAAAGCYCCCCGTAAAGTGTAGAGTAAGTCGGATCGGACTTGTTGCCTTTAACGAAATGAGGCTGCAGATCGTCATCGAGGTCGAATGTCGTGGGCACAATGGCACAAAAATCGGGCCGTCGTGAGAGGGCATCCGCAACTCGATTGGCGGGACCGGGAATATGGCACGGGTCAAAGTCGAACTGGTCGATGTAATACATCCATCGACCGATCGTGCTAGTGACCGTATCCTGCGTTTTATAAAAGGTCAACGGATTGTTGTCCGTATTCCATTTRAAATGTCGACGGCCGAGAAGAAAGTGGCGCCACCGTTTGAGAACGGTGACGAACGCGAGTAGCTCTTTCTTCCTAGCGTCGTCGAGAGTGTTGACGAGAGGCACCTTTTGGGAGAAGTACTCGACCGGATGCCAACCGTCCTCGTGACACTGTTCGAACACCGCACCAATGCAGTATCTCGAAGCGTCCGTAGTCACTTGGGTGGGAAGGGTGAGGTCGTATATAAGGAGGACAGGTGCGGATGCATTGCTGCCTTCAACGTCGTGAACGCGCCACGGGTTGCGTCGTCGAACTCGAAGGGCACCTTTGGGGACTGAAGTCTCGACAAAGGAGCGGCCACTTTCGAGTATGACTCGACGAATCTCTGATAATATCCAGCCAAGCCCATGAAAGAGCGTACATCCGTTGTGCAACGGGGTTCCGGCCAATCCACGATGGCTTGGATCTTGTCCGCTAAGGGACGAATGACTTTTGGCGTAACATAGTGACCCAAGTACTCAAGCTCCTGCTTGGCGAACTCGCACTTGTCGAGATTCGCTTTGTACTTGGCCGGTCGCAACCGATCCAAAACAGCGTGAAGGTGTACGATGTGCTCGTCCAATGTCCTACTATAAACCAAGATGTCATCGAGGTAGATGAGGACGCTGTGATCGAGCAAGTCGCGAAACTCAGTCGTCATAGCTGCTTGGAAAGTCGCGGGGGCATTGGTGAGGCCAAAAGGCATGACAACCCACTCAAAGTGCCCGTACCGCGTCTTCAACGCGGTTTTGTACCGATCTTGAGGCTGGATTTCAATCTGGTGGTAACCCGACTTCAAGTCCGACTTCGAGAAGTACGTCGCGCCGCCTAACCGCTCAAGGAGATCATCAATCCGAGGGAGAGGGTCGGCGTTCTTTACGGTTTGTGCGTTAAGTTTGCGATAGTCGATGCATAACCGTAGGTCTTTCTTCTTCTTCCGGACGAAGAGAACAGGGGCACCGTAAGGCGAACAACTAGGGCGAATCCAGCCCTTGTCGAGAAGGTCACCGAGTTGTGCGCGAAGCACCTCGAGTTCCTCTTCGCTCATGCGGTAGATACATCCACGCGGAGGGACGACACCAACCGCGGGAGTGATCCCGTGACGTATGGGCCGATYCGGAACCGTTCCGGTGGGAGCCTCGAAGACGTCTCCATACTCGTCCAAGAGGTGAGAAATGCGTGGGGCCGGCGGTGACGCGGCTGGTCCGTCCGGCAAGGGGAGAGCATGCAAGAATACAAGGCCCATCTCCTCGACGTCATTCTGAGCTATGGCGTCTCGAATTCTCGCAACGGAAACCACGTGACAAGCAATCGAAGTGTGAGGGGTCGCGACTGAACATGGGACTAACACTCCGTTCCGATCACGGATGTGAACGGTCTGGTCGTGGAAGTTCACCGGATGATCGGCGCTACTCAACCAAGACATGCCTAGAATCATGTCGAACTTGGTGTCGAGGATGTCAAAAGACACCAGCTCGCACGCAAGTGGCGCAAAGTATACCGGAACGCCGTCAACGCATCGGTCAATTGATTTTTGCGTGCGGCCGTCCGCGAGTGTAACTTACGTAGGTTGCGTCTTCCTTCAAACGCACGGGCCATAAAGGCTTGGCTCATAAAGTTGCGAGACGCTCCGCAATCAATCAAGGCACTACAGGTTGCCTTTCCGATTTGAATGCGGATATAGAGCAAAGGGGCGTCGGTCTCGGCGTACCTTTGGGTGGCGTACTCGCGGTCAATCTTCGCAAGATAGGAGCGGAGATCGACAACCGCTACCCCGTCGTCCGTCAACGGAGCTGGTACTGTAGTGTGCAAATAGGAGCGTAGATTTGCCATCAAGGCGTTGCAATGCGGCCTTGGCAAGGTTCCGGTCGAGGGTAGAGGCATCCAAGCGAAGTCCTCTCGTGTGAGCGGGTCAAGCTCCTCAAGTCTTGACCACGCCGTCGAGTCCTCGGAAATCAGTGGCGAACTGACTGGATCACTTGCCGACGGTGTATAGGCTGCGCATACGCAATCTAAGTGCACGTGGCTCGGCTGGTCTAGTGGTGGTACCAACTGGGCGACATAATCCTCGTACGTAGCACGAGAATCAGCGACTAACGCATGCTCCCCGGTAGTGACATCGATTGCTAGCAAGGCAACCGGGTCCGGCGGAGTGAGGAGAGACGTCGCCCCTCTCCTTGCGTGACTCAGTTTCCCGAGTTAGCTGGACGGGGTACGCGTGCCTTGCCCTTTTCGGGGCATTGTGCGGTCAAGTGAGTGACTCCATTGCACCAAAGGCAATATCCGTACCGTTGACGAAGCTCATAGACTTCCTTGATTGTCTTGTATGCCGTCCATGGCTGCTGCCCTGTTCCTGTCGATGTCGTCTCTTGTGTCGCCTTGTTCTTTCGAACTCTCTTGGGACGCTTCGGCGGGAGCGCTGCTACAATTCCTCCATCACTCGAGGATGCTGCTGCAGCGTGGAGATTGACTGTTTCTTCAGAAATCACGACATTGTTATGTGTCGGTCGTTGATAGCCCTGCTTAGCCACATAGTGCGGTTGGGACTGCTTCTCGTTAGTGGCCTTGTCATCTGTTTGGATGACCAGGTTCGCACGATCCAGAATAGCCTGGAACGAGGCGTAATCGTACTCGTTGCCGAGTGCGGTTCGCAGTCCTGCGCACGATCGCGAGAAGAACTCAGATCGTTGGTTTGGGAAACTCAAATCGAAGCCTGGCGTGGTCACTATCTTCTACCACTTGATCGTCCAGTCTCGAGTTGGCATGCTTCCCTGTGAGCAAGTGTAGACCTCGTTCATGGCCGCCTTCACAACGTTGCGGACCATGAATCGAGTGAACCACAGTTGTTCAAAATCCTCCCACGTGAGGTGTTTGTGTAGCTCAGCGATAGTGGTTCCCTTGTTAACTGCGAGGTGGTTCATCCACGCCTGGCACCTCCAATGAGTTGGAGGTATAGTGCCTTCATCATGTCTTCGGCTGGGACCTTGTGGCAGGACGCTTCGGTGAGGAAGGCTTGCCACCATGTCAAAGCGTCGGTCTTGTTGTAGTCATCGAACTTACCGATGTTGAAGCGTGGCATCTTGTATACCTTCGCAGCTGCTGCCGGTTGCGACTGCAGCTTGGTGATGTCCGTCTTGATGGCGGCCACCGTGCTGCTGATCATAGCCGGACTGGTGAAGTCACTTAGGTCGCCGATTAGGGTGACGACATGGTCGATGCGCTCGTTGAGCTGTTTCGCCGTGTCTGTCGTGCAGCCTGGCGCTGCTTGGGAAGTCCTTGCCTCCAGAGCAGCAATGCGGGTGTCCATCTGTTTCAGCTGGGAATCCACGATCTTGACGGCTGCTGCAAGCGTCTTCACGTTATGGCTAAGATCGTGCTGCAGCTGCCGTGTAGACCTGGAATGAAGTTCCCCCATGGTGCTGTTCCAGATGACTGCGCGCATTGTGTTGAGTAGAATGTCTGCCAGGTTTTGTCTCTCCTGTTGTACTGCCGCTGGCTCGGCGCCTGCTACGGGAACATAACGCATACCGTTGAGTACCGCTGTCCACTGATCTTGTGGAGAGATCAGGAGCTCGGCACTGTCAGCGTTGAGCTTGTCGGTCGCCAACTGCGCCGCCTCAGCTTGTTGCTGGGCTTGGGCTGCAGCTTCTGCTGCCAGCCGCTGTCTGTCTGCTTCGGCAGCATCTTGCCGTTCTTTGGCAAGGGTTAGTGCGGCCGTATAGGTCTGCACTCGCTGAATGTAGTCCCCGATGGACTCATTCGGCCCTTGAGCCGGACAGATCGGCAATGGTTCGGCATTGCTAGATGTCGAAGCCTCGGATGACGTTCCGCTGTTCGGCGTGTTCGCCATCTGAGTGCTGGTCTGTGGCTGCTGTCGAACTGCAGGTTGCGGTTGCTGTTGGCGATCTGCGATCCTCTTGCTGCGTCGTGGCTGCTGTTCGGTGGCTTGCCCTGCTGGCATCAGAGAACTGCTGCTGAAGGCTGGCTCGTCCGAATGGTCACAGAACAGTGAGAGGGAGAGGGTGGGTACAGGGGTAGAACAGATCAGGCAATCCGCATACAGTCCCTGTCCCAATGATGGACTTAGACACCTAATCAAACAGGAAAAAGATAAACTTTCCCACCACAACTTAAAAATTCGTAATAAGAAATAATAATGAATTAATAATCAATAAATTTTGAATTAAATGATTAATAACGAATTAATATTTCTTAATAATCAATAAAACAATAAATGCAATAATGATAATTACCGAATTTTAAATTGTGACAAGATTAGGTATCCGTTGAGATCTCCTATGGTCCGGGAGTTCACCGTTGAATAGTGAACTTCCCGGAAGTTGCGATTCTGAGGGAACGATTCCGAACAGTTTGCCAAAATTTTTTTTTCGAAAAATCAGGAAGAAAAACACTCGAATTTTCGAAAAACGTAAAATTTTGGGCATGTCAACCTACAAAATCCGATTTTTAAAGGCCTAAGTCTCATTTTGCACATTTGGGTCATGGCCACACCACTGTCGAAATGTGCAAAATGAGAATGAACTTACCGCTAGAACGTGGTCAGATGCACCCGCCACAGTTTTGTCCCTTTCACATTTCCTGAGTGGTGTGGCGATGTCCTTGGTGTGAAGTGGAGCGAGGCCCTTAGTGCCCCGTTCTTTCTCTGCCTTCCCGTCCTGCACACTTCATAAGGAAACTGGCGTCTTGTTCTTTTTTTCCTGTTTTTTTTGTTTCTTGCTTTTTGCG